CATGAGAAAAGGAAATCCGGCCATTTGTGACAACATCGATGAACCTGGAGCACATTATGCTAAGTGAAATAAGCCAGATAGAGGAAGACAAATACTATATGGTCTCGTTTATATGTGGAATCATAAAAAAAAAAAGGTGAACTCATAAAAGCGGACAGTAGAATGGTGATTACCAGGAGCTGGGGAGATGTTGGTCAAAGCGTACACAGTTTAATTTATGTAGGATGAATAAGTCCAGAGTTCTAATGTACAGGTATGATGACCGTACTTAATAATACTCTATTGAACACTGGCGAGATGCTATGAGAGTCAATTTCAGATGTATCCACCACACTCAAAAAAGTGGTAACATGAAAAAAATAAAAGAGGGGGCAGGCCCAGTGGCCTAGCGGTTCTGCTTTGCTGGCCTTGGGTTCGCCAGTCTGGATCCCAGGTGTGGACCTCGCCCCACTTATCAAGCCATGCTGTGGCAGGCATTCCACATATAAAATAGAGGAAGATGGGCACAGATGTTAGCTCAGGGCCAATCTGCCTCAGCAAAAAGAGGAGGATTGGCAGCAGACGATAGCTCAGGGCCAATCTTCCTCAAAAAGAAAAAAAAAGGTAACGTGAGGATATGATATGTTAATTAGCTTGACCATAGTAATCATTTTACTATGTATATGTATTTCAAATCATCATATTGTAAACATTAAGTATATATGTTTGATTAAAATTTTTTCCTGAAACTTGTGGAATGGTATGTGTAATATAATCCACTTTCAGTAAAGAGAAAACAATGACATAACGTGTGTGTGTGAATAAAACATTCTGAGAAAAAGATTGCCAAATTGTTCGCAGAAGTTTCTCTGAGGGTGGCAGTTCAGACTATAGAGAATTCACTTTCAGCTTTTATAGTTCTATAGTGTTTGAATTTTATGTAACGTGATTATTTATCCATTTTTGGAAAACTTCTGTAGAAGCTTAACATACATACAGAAAAGTGCAAAAATCGTAAGTGTGCAGGTTGACAGATTCAAGACCTGAACAGATTTATGTAACTGGCACCCAAATTACTATCTAGAACACTACTGGGCCCCCAGAAACCCTGCCTTGTACCCTGTTCTAAATCCCAACCAGCGTTACCACTATCCTAACTTCTAACACCATAGGTTTATTTTGCCTGATTTTAAAGTTAATATAAAGGGATCATACAGTATGTATTCTTTTGTGCCTAGTATCTTTCACTCAGTATCGTGTTTGTGAGATTCACGCATGTAGTTGCATGTAGCTGTAACTTGTTCATTGTCATTGCTATATTGTATCCCGCTTATTTATCCTTTCTACAGCTGATGGACATTTGTGTAAGTTCTAGTTTGATGGCATAGTGAAAAGTATTTCTGTAAACACACTTGCATATCTTTCTGAACCTATGTATTTTGGGGGGTATATACCTTGGAGTGGAATGAAGGGATCAAAAGGCATGTATATAGTTAGAAGATATACAGATAACTTAATAAATAGTGGCAGACAGTTTTTCAAAGTGGTTGTACCAATTTATACTCCCAATAGTAGTTTATGAGCATTCCAGTTGCTCTACGCATTTGGCTAAACTTTGTATTTGCTATCTCATTTTAGCCATTCTGGTAGATGTTTAGTGGTATTGCATTTTAATTTGCATTTCTCTGATGACTAAAAATGCTGAGAATCTTTTTCAGGTTCATTGGTCATTTGGACATCATCTTTTTTTTTTTCACTGAGAAAGATTTGCCCTGAGCTAGCATCTGTTGCCAATCTCCCTCTTTTTGCTTGAGGAAGATTCACCCTGAGCTAACATCTGTGCCAGTCTTCCTCTATTTTGTATGTGGGTCACTGCCACAGTATGGCCGATGACAAGTGGTGTAGGTCCACGCCCAGGAACTGAACCTGGGCCACCAAAGAGGAGTGTGCCAAAGTCAACCACTAGGCCTTGGGGCTGGCTCCAGACATCATCTTTTCTTGAAGAGCTATTTGCCCCTATTTTTCTAATAGGTTTTTTGTCTTTTTCTTATTGATTTGTGTGTGTGTGTATATATACATATTTGATTATCAGCTTTTTCTAGTGCACCCAGAAATTTGGACTCTGGCTATTCTACTCAATTGGAAAAGATTATGTCTAATGATTAGTAATTACCAGTTCTGTAAGCTTTTCTTCAGTTATAATTATTCTGGACCTATAGGAAGTGTTTACATGGTTAACTAACTTTACCTTCTTAAAGTTCTTTCATGTCTAGGTTTCCATTTTACAATATTATCCCAATTGTTCTAACTTTATTATTTATTATCTATTCTTTCATTTTCTTAAAGGTAGGGCATTTCCCCCAAAGGTTCTTTTTCTTTCTCTACATTCCGTCTCCCAGGAACATGGATTCTTGCCAGATGATTGCCAATTTATTTTTCTAGTCCCATCTTCTCTTCTGAGATTAACTTTCTTGTTTCAAAATGATGATAGTTTTTAACATCATTAATATAATAAACTCACTGTGCCCCAAATTGAACTTATATCCTCAACCCTATATTTTCCTCTTTACCTGACCTTCTATTTCTGTTAATAATGCCTCTTTTCCATCAGTAATTGGTGAAAAGAATTGACCATCTCAACCCACAGCATCACCTCATATCAACAAGTCTTAAATGAATCTCTTCTGAAATATATAGAGTCCATTCTTTCAATCCATTTAGTTACTGGTCAGCCCTTAATTAAAATTCTTATCATCTTGTTCCCCAAAAGCACAGGGATACCCTAACTGGTTCCTCTGTAGCTAAATTATCTGTATCTTCCATACATTCCACCATTAGTTTGGAGGCCCCCATCCTGACTTTGAGCATCCAGTTCCTTTCCTCTACCCAATGTCTAATGCCTTCCTTTAGTCTATAGGATAAATTCCAATCTGGTGGCTCAACCTTTTCAGTCCACTTAGCAGGAGAAATGGGAGTAAGAAAGCTAGTAACAGGGGTTCAAATGAGTTTGAATATTGAAAAATGATTCATTAGGATAATCTTATTCTGTTGAGTGAGAGATGTGCCAGGATGGACCAAGTACTGAGTCTCACAGCAAGAACCTAATATCCTAGCAGGCAGGAGTAAGAGAATCAGATTTCAACAATGAAATGTCAAAATGAGTAAGACAAGTGTGTTTTAAAAGGGCCCAAAGCACGAAACCCAGAAGATGAAGATGCAGAAGCCAAGAAAGCCAGGAAAGATTTGAGTTGCCTCTTTGGAAAGTCAGAAGCCCACATCGCAGGCTTGCCTTTGCTGATGTTAAAAAATTTCACTCTAAAGATGCTTATAACACAAACTTCCTTTCCATCTTTGTCTTCTACACAAATTTCTCAAGCCAGATAATCTGTGGCATACGGTCTGACAGTGGGCTTGCTATTTTTCCAGATTCATCTCTTGACTCCCTCCTTCACATCCAGCTTTCCTTAATACTTTTCCTACCTCTAGGCCTTTGTACGATTTCCCCCCAAGTCCCTCATGTTCTCTGAAAACAAGCTCAAGTATCATATTCTCTGTGGAAACTTCCTTAATCCCTTCGAATCAAATTATATCTTGTAAATATCTCTATTTCGCTTATTATACTCATTACAGTTTTCTTCTCTTTTTTTTTCTTGTCTTTTTCCTTATCTGGAACTTAATATCTGGCACAGGGTTGTTAGTTTTCCTTCTCTACTGTGTAGCAGAGTACTCAACAAATGTTAATATTCCATAGGTGCATATTGAAAAAATGACAATCCGATGCTCACAAAATGACTTATGCTGTCCTGCCTCCACACCTGTGCTAAAACTTCTCCCTTACCTCTAATGCAACCCTCACCTCCTTTCTCCTCATCCAGACCCTCAAAATATTTGCTGAGTACCCCTAGATACCATGTGATGAACCACATTCCACGTGTAGAAAGATGAATCAGACGTGGTCCCCGATTAGTTGTGTCTATGGGACCCAGGTTAAATCCCCCACCTATTGCACCTTTGGTTACCAAACCAGCCTGAAGGGAGCTCTCTCTCCTTCAAAATTTCGTAATTCTGGTTGACTGTATTACTACTCAAATCGGTATTCATTAATTATGCAATATTGTGCTCTTGCGCTGTTATTTGATTCTCCTGTATGTTCTAAAGCTCTTAGTTGATTCCCACCATGTGATTTGTCTGTTAAAACACATACATTTTTTATTTCCAACTAAACTGGAAGCTCTTGGAGAACAAAGATTGTGCCTCTTGAACTTCTTTGCTAGTTTCAGTACATGAAGTGAAATGCCTTCCACACAGGAAGAGCTCCACAGTATGCATTAAGTGAGTGGCATACCAGGTACAATGGAGGTGGGCCGTGTGGTAGTAGTGGGAAGACACCTATTGAACCATCAGTAGCTCCCCCTGCTTCCTGAACTGGGGAAATTTCTGTGAGACAAGAGCATTGTGTGTCCAGGACAGTGCTGGGAGGTGATCTGAAGGGTAAGGAGAGACCCTGAAATTCTGAAGGCTGCAGACCCTTTGGTTACAGAACAATGTTTCAGAAAATTAAGTCTATGGGCTATTTCATAGTGGGTCTTTCCAGTTTTTAGTTTCTATTACTGGACCAATTCTTTAAACTTCGTAAGTATTTTAAATGAGGGCGCTGGTGTTTCTTTCACTGGCGTCAAAAACAGGTTTATTTTTATGACTGATAATATTCTCACATTGATACTCTGAGTGTCCAATTTTGGGTTGACAACATGTCTTTTTATGTTGATGAGTTTTGCATATATTTAAACTTCATTATATATTGATTAGTGGGAGTGCAGGCTTGAGTTTCCAAGTAAGGTTGGCATTCATAATGGGATATGTTTAAAACCAAATGGCTGGGACCATCCCAGCACATTGCTGTGTATAATTCCCCGACTGTACTCACTGCATCATAAATAATAATGAAAGTAAATGTACGTTTATCGGGAAGAATCAACAAAACCCCAGCGCTGATTCGCTGCTCGCACTTGTCTCACCAGGCATTAAGGCCAGCTTTCGAACAAGGGTGCCTGAAGGTTTGATTGTCTTTGCCGCGTCACCTGGCAATCAGGAAGAGTATTTTGCGCTTCAGTTGAAGAATGGACATCCTTATTTCCTTTTTGATCCTCAGGTAAATGAGTAATCATGAAGTTGATATTTTTGAGCGTTTACTAGGCGCTGGGTACCGCTTATGGTTTCACATTGAACGCTCACCAAAAACTTAGAGGTAAGACTGTTATTATCTCCACTTCACCAATGAAGAAAATGAAACTTACAAAAGTGATGGGACTTGCCCACAGCTCAAATAGCAGAGCTAACTTTCAATCTACATCCTTAACAACCATATGCTATGGTAAATAAGTGCAAAGCAATGGGATATATTGGAGTATATGAGGAAGCCATTTGTTTTAAAACTAATTCAGCCTGACCTTGTTTTTCCAAAAGGCCCTGATGTGGTCTGTTGAGCATGCATTGTACATCTGCTTTAAATATTTACTATGTTCCAAAGACAAGAATGATGTCCTTAAAAATAGGGATGTAGCTATTGACATTTCTTTAAGGATAAGCATCTCTTCCTAGAAACTAAGGATTAGTTGCTGACCTGCTGTGCTCAGCTTGTGACCACTGACGTGCTGACCACTGACCTGCAGTGCCAGCTAAGCATCTTGTGATAGTAGTAAAAGAGATATTCCTGTCATGTGTGATGTATGCTCTTTGTCCCAAGATGGTATATAACCACTCTGTACACCCCACTTCTTTGATGCCCTTCCTTCCTTGGGAAGGAAGGCCCTGGGCTATAGTTCTCAAACCTGGCTCATAATAGACTCACTCTAATTTTGATTTATAGAATGATTACGGATTATTTGGGTTGACAGTTACCTTATAATAAAGATTAACACTTTTAAATAAATTTGAATAGATCTATTTTTATTTGCCTTGAGAGCAAAATTATGTCTCTCTTTATCCTCCTTCTTTCTTCCTTCCTTCCTTCTTTTCTTCCTTCCTTCCTTTCTGTCTTTCTTTCTTTGTTACTTCATTTGTTCACCAGCAAATATTCAAGTGCCTATTAGGTACCATTGTGCTGGATATTGCAGACTTACAATTGTTTTAAATTTAAATAGGACCACACCCCTCTGAAACAATCTAGGAAGGATATGGCAAAAATTAATTTAAAATATTCATAAATGTTATGAAAGAGAAGTACAAGATGCTATGTATCATGGGAATATAAAAGGAAGGGTCTTTCATTTCTGAGTTGTCAGTCTTCTCTGAAAATGTGATATTTAACTGAGATGCAAAGAGGATGCATTGCTAGGACGAGTACATGTCTGTACATGAGGACATGTGTTTGAGGAGGGCAGGACAGGGGAAATACTGATGGGAGATGAGGGAAGGTGCTGGAAATAAAATTTTCAGGCATAGCAAATGGCCAGTGTTAAGTGCCTGAGGTAGATAAGAACATGCTGTATTCAATACATTGAGATGAACTTCATATGGCTGGAGAAGAGAGAACAAAGAGAAAAGCGGTAGGTTGAAAAGATAGGTAGAGACTAAATCATGTACAGCCTTGTAAGCAAATATGAGGGTTTAAATTTTTACTAAGGGCAATGGAAAACCAGTGAGCAGTTGTCTTCACTCTAGTTAAACAAACATTAGTAAGCATTTGACATTGGGCCCTGTATTGGGCCTGTGAGTAGTTGAGAAATGAGTAAGACTAAGTCAAAGATGTTTTTCTTTCCATTTTCTCAATTTTTCAACTTAAAACTGCTGATCTAAGTCATAAGCTGTGCTTGCAAAATAAATGTTTCCATTACATTGGAAAGTTGGCACAACTTTTCCCTTCCATATCTAAGGAGCATCTGGGATCATGGGCCAAGAGCGCTGGGTGAGGATCACAACTTCATACATGCTGGTGGCCTACTCACGTTGGAGAGGAAAGGCAGGGCCTGCTGGACAAGTGTGTCTCAGCATCATGCCAGGCTCTCTGCAGGGGAACTCAAGAGGCAGGCTGAGGGCCTGGCCTGGTGGTACAGTGGTTAAGTTCACACACTCACTTTGGCAGCCCAGGGTTCACCAGTTCAGATCCCAGGCATGGACCTAAACGCCACACATCAAGCCATGCTGTGGCAGTGTCCCACAAACAAAATAAAGGAAGACTGACACAGATGTTAGCTCAAGGACAATCTTCCTCACCACCAAAAAAAAAAAAGAAGGCAGACTAAGTTCTTCCTGCTTTAGGAAGCTAGGAGAGCCACAAGTTAGCAACTGGGAAAACCAGGGGAAGAAAGGTTTCCTTGGTACATTGTAGGTCCTCAGGCACAAGGACTTCTGGGTGTCACCTAGAATTGCAGCTTCTTAAAGGATGCCAATAAATGGACAGTTAGTAAGCAAAAAACAAATAGCATCAAACCTAACCAGATCCAGCAGCCAGAGAGAAAGAGAGAAGCAACCGCTATTTCAGAAGGCAAGGCAGATGGCAGTTAGGGAAAAAAGCAAACAAAAAACAATCAGCAAAATTGAATCACTTGATGGGGCCAGCCAGGTGGTGTACCAGTTAAGTTTGGGTGTTCTGCTTCAGCGGTCCCGGGTTCACAGGTTTGGATCCCTGGCACAGAGCTACGCACGGTTTATCAAGCCATGCTGTGGTAGGCATCCCACATATAAAGTAGAGGCAAAAGGGCATGGATGTTAGCTCAGGGCTAGTCTTCCTCCGCAAAAAGAGGAGGATTGGTGGCAGATGTTAGCTCAGGGCTAATCTTGCTCCAAAAAAAAAAAAAAATTGAATAAGCTGATTCAATTACAGGACTAAAAATATTATTTTTCATTTGAAAAGCCTTAGATAGATTAATTATAGGAGAGACACCATTGAGCCTCAGAGTAGTAGGTCAGGAGATAAAGTTGAAGAAATCTCTCAAAATATGTAACAAAAATATGAAAAGATGAAAGATGAAGGATATTACTAATATTATTAAGAAGAAATTCAAAAAGAGAACAAAACACACATGCGTAAGAAAAGGAAGGATGAGAGAAAATCACGAAATATAAAATAGGAGAGAAAATCTGATTTAAGAAAAAACTGATTACAAATTTGTTGAAAGGATTCATCCAGTTGCTGTAAGATGAAGCAAAGCTAATGCTTCTGTAGGATCTCTGTGTGCCAGACGTTAGTCTAAGCGCTCCCTCTGTACATAAATACACACACACTTAAACTTCACAACAACTCTGCTATAGGCACTCTTATTAATACCAAGCAAGGGCTCAATCTGCTCACCGAGAGAAAAAAGCCAGTCCACCAAGAGGCAAGGGCGTGAAGAGAGAGAAACTTTGTTAAGTGATGAGCCAGCTGATCAGAAGATGGCGGACTATTGTCCTAAAATCAAATCATCTTAAATGGGAACTGATTTTCAAACCAACGGGGCTGGGGAGGGGCCTCGGGAGTGTCAGATGTTGGATGACCGCGGACCATTGCCTGCCTCTCCATGGACGAAATTTTCAGATCTGCTGAATGTGACATTCCTGAGGAATCTAAGAAAACATTAGAGATTTTGTTATGAGGGAGTGAAGGAGCCGTTTGGGCGGAGAGCTTAAATCTTCTGCTTACAAGTCATTCTCTCTACTGGTTACTGACTAGTTACTGATTAGCTTGCCTGCAAGAAGTTCTAAGCATATCTCCAAAGCACACTGTGCGAATAAGATTGGTGGGGGGGGGGGGGGGGCAGAAGTTTAGACATAGAGTCTCTCATGCTAACTCAGTCTCATTATTCTTCCCATTTGCCAGGTGAAAAATCTGAGTCGTAGTTAAATTCATTTTCCCAAGGGCATACAGCTAATAAGTGACCAAGCCTTGTTTTAAACCCAGGCCATGAGGCTCCAAAGAACATGATTTCAGCTGCAATACTATACTGTTTTTCAACATGAAATAAAAATGTTGCTGTCCAGAGGCTCAGATAAAATATCATCCATGTACCATATTGGCGGGACATATTCGGCAAGGCTTCTGACCAAAAGAAAGAAAAAAGAGACCAAAAAGTAAAAACAGAGAAGCGATGGTAAACCTAGCATTGTTAAGTTCAACCTAAATATTTAATGTTGAGTGACAAGAAATGTGTTTCACAGTGCCAAATAAGAATCTTTGAAATAGAAGAGACACGTGGCAAAGACAAAAAACCCACTAGTAATTGTTTGGTGCTAAAATTACTAAGAGTTGAAGGAGGGGAAAGATGAATGAATTAAAAATTTCTAAAGATATCAACTTAGTAGAGTGTGGGGGTGAAGGAATAGATCATATTGGTGTCTTGTTTTCATAAAATAAATAGGCAAAAATGTTTGATTTTAAATATGAAAAAAATCAGCTACTAATAGAATGAAAATGTTCTGCAGGACATTCAGATTAACAAGGTGAAAAAAGAAATGATATGCTAAATCGTAAAAATCAACAAAACTCATTAAAAGAGGAGAAACAGTGCAGTAAAATAGAAGATTGTCAATGAGACAGAAACATCCGGCTCTGATTTTCTCCCTCAACCTCTTAAGATCTGGAGATATTTGAGAAGAAGCCAGATGGAGAAAAACCTTAATCCTAAAACCATTTATTCAAAGAGCTTTTAAAGTATATAAAGCGGGTTCACATTAATTATCTTATTTCATTCCTGAAACAGCCACTTGAAGTAGGTGTTGTTTTCATCCTGCTTTAGAGGAAGTGGCTTAACTAGGGTCACATAGTGATTTAGTGATAGAATTGGCCCTGGATTTCTTTGATTTCATTCAATGAAACTTTGTTAGGAATTTATTGTACCCCAGGCACTGTGCTATGCAGTGATGGACTGGGAAATGTGAGAGGGTCAGCATGCACTCTTGCCATCCTCTCATCTGGAACCCCTTCCCCATGATTGGAGTACAGAGTCTCTGCTACAGCTGGACAGGGGACGGAGTGATAGGACCCAGGAAAATGTGCAATGGTGGCTTCATGCTGCCTCACACTTGTATTGCTCTCGTCATTGTAAATGTCCATCCCAGTGTCTGTGAGTGTGGTTCCAGATGACCATTCATGCCCCAAAGCTACATGTGTAATAGTACACTGGCCATACACACACACAATCCATACATGGGGCAGTCTTTGCAGAATTAATCCAAAAATGACTTCACCAGATCTGAAGCTCGATTGTTGTGATATCGTGATTTATAAGAAAAATATATATTTAGTCATTTAGATAACCAAAATATTTCTTATAGACAATTGGTCTTTATCCACAATTCCTGACTTATAGCTCCCAAAACCCTTGGAGTTTCCTAAGTGATGAGAGTGACAAAAATGTCTTTTATTAGGTTAATGAGGAGACTTTTGCACCCCACCTAAGGATGGGACCTGGTTGCTAGGAGGACCAACTGTGTGATTAGAGGGTTGGAACTTTCAGTCCCATCCCCCTCTACCTCCTGAGAGGGTAGAGGGACTGGAGGTTGAATCAATTACCAATGGCCAATGATTTAATCAATAGTGCCTCTGTAATGAAACTTTCATAAAAACCCCAAAGGACTGGGTTTGGAGAGCTTCTGGGTTGGTGAACACATGAAGGTGCTGGGGGAGTGGTCTTCCTGGAGAGAGCATGGGAGCTGCACGCCCTTCTCCATGCCTTTCCCTATGCATCTCTTCCATCTGGCTATTCCTGAGTTATATCCGTTTGTAATAAATGGATAATCTAGTAAGTAAAATGTGTCTCGAGTTCTGTGAGCTTCTCTAGCAAACTAGTCGAACCCAAGGAAAGGGTGTTGGGAACCTCTGATTTATAGCCAGTGGGTCAGAAGTATAGGAAAACTGTACTTGTGATTGCCCTCTGAAGTCTAAGGAGTAGGTCATGGGAATCTCCAATCTGTAACCGGTCAGTGAGAAGTGCAGGTAACGACCTGAGCTTGCAGTTGCTGTCTGAAGTTGGAGGGAGGCCGTCTTGCAGGACTGAGCCCTTAACCTGTGGAATATGATGCTATCTCCATGTAGATAGTGTCAAAATTGAGTTGAACCCAGTTGGTGTCCTGGAGCACTGCTTGCTTGTTAGTGTGGGGAACCCCTCCTTCCCCTCACACTGGAATTGATACCAGAACCTATTTAAATGCCATCTCTTTTGACAGTGTTGTTTCTCTGTCTAAGGATGTGATACCTTAAGACGGCAGAAGAGGAAGGTAAAGGGATTCAATGATGCTTAACTCTGCCTCCCACAGTATTGTCATTATGATCCTGAGAATGGCTGCCAGAAAACTCTCTTGGTCTCGTCATTTTCATGTCCTTTTCAATGATCAGATAGACAGGCTGGTATAAGCCATGATAACGGAGTTCAGTGAAGCATTCATGGGGCATCGCCCATCATTTCTGCCTTCTCACCCCTTTCCCTCAGACAATTGCTTAGATTACTCATCACTGCCATTAGCTTTCCCAGCTGCTCTGTCCCTGCCCTGTATACCCAGGGTATACATATTTTGTATACCCAAGTCCTACCCTGTACACAAAGTTGGCAGGGGCCAACCATGTAGTAACAAAATTATTATAGCCAGAAGTTGGAGGAGAAGGGGAATGAGGAGGGTTCAATCATGCCTGACAAGTGCATTTTTATCTGGAATAATAATAACTCTCCACAAGGCAAAAATTACCTGCATTTTCAGGAAACTGACAATTAATTTATTCAAAAGAAAGTACGGTATTGGTTGAACAGGATTGCCTTAAGATATATTTGAGAAAATGTAATCAGACATGAATACTAAGTGCTCATGGGTCATGGTGCTCTCTCTGTATGACACAACGAGCTCAAGCCGGCCAGGACTCTGTCCTTCCTCACAGCCAAGGAATTTATACTCCAATGCAGGTTAACTGGACAAATTTGCCAACTTTTTAATGAAAATTCCCCATATTTTCAGACAAAGGATTGTTGAAACCCAGGAGTGGAGAAAATCTGGAATAGTCTTCCATTGTTTGTTCTCCTTTTGGGCAGTAATATGAAGATAGCTTCTTGTACAAAGCTAGAGCTACCCAGGTTTAAAGAAGTTTGGAAGTTTGTTTTATATGCCTTCCACTGTCATTCAAATTGTTTATATTTTAAATACTTTAGGTACCACTTTAAGCCAGTTTTCTTTCGTTTTGTCTTTAAATGAGAAAAGATTTTCTAAGGAACACCTTATTGTACTCATCAGCCAAGTAGCCATTTGCTTAATGTGTCTTATTTGACTATACAACCCAGTGAGGGCAAAGTCTATTTCAACCACAATATATCCTTGAGGCTTAGCACAGTCCTTAGAGCCTAGTAGATGCTCAATAAATAAATGTCTGCCGACAGGCTGACTGAGTGGCTCAATAACTGTTGACAAAATACTACTCGTAATTGAAGAAAATTACTCATTTTCTAGGATAAAATTTCCAGCTCTTTAATGACTATTCAATAATTTAGTTCTTATTCGTTTTAGTTTGTCAGTTTGTCAGACACTTTGACTTTTATCGATGGTTATTTTTAAATTACTTTTCCTGAATGCGTTCAAAATAATTCAATTTTGAGTTGTGAAAAGAGAATTTTGTAGGAATTTAAAATTACTGTGTAGCACATAGTTTCAAAATAACTTGAAGTCATTATGCACTTTGTTCTTTTTAAAGTGTCTTAATAAATTTAAGTAATAAATCCCTTATATAACAATGTATCCTATGTAAAGGCTATGGGGTAAAAACTTATTCAGTTTCCCTTCCAACTATCCAATGCATTGCATGATTAAATATTTAGGGAAAGGGGGAGAGATTCTTCATATTTAAAACTGGATATGTATCTGCATATTATGGACTGGACATTTGGAACCGTTAAGATTCACAGTAAAAAGTTACTCCAATTTTTAATTGCTGTATTTTTTGTTAATTCTCGAACAAATCACTACAATCTTCCAATTCTTTATTTGATTAATTTCAATTTATATATACTTGCACACATGCTATTTTATTGACCAATAAGGACTCATGGTTTTCATTTAAAAGATTTATGTTCAGTGACATTAACAGGAAATTCACGTAGCAGTCTGATTTCACTTAGAAGGAAGCTGTGAAAGTGAAACCTTTCAAACAATGCCGAATAGCACCTGTTTAACATGTCTGATAGTTTCCAAATGGAAAGAACAAAATGGCATGATGTGACACCAGAATTGATCACAGAACTATTCTCTTAATATTGGTGAGGGAAAATAATCTTAATGTGATCATCAAAGAATAATATGCTAAGTTCCTCTAAGTATAAAGCAAATTTGGCATACTGAGGCTGGCTGTATGTTATGTACTTGAATTTGTCACCAATAAATGTGATTTCTAGTGTAGAGAACTGTTAATGCTTCAGATTGTTGCCAAACATAATATGAAGAACCACTTACTCAGACACCTGATCTTTAGAATGCAGCGTCGTTTGTAACAATTTTAACGCTAACTAAGTACACTTTGATGAGACAGCATTTAATAAAATGCTCATTAATTTCATCATTAGCAAGGGTATGCTAAGAAGTAAGCCAGTTTCTTATGTCACGCCCAATTAGCATCCCATGCTAGTAATCCCATTAGTATTGTTGAATTCACTAATGGAAAAACTAATGGGCATGCTACCAGGGCACATTAATTGGGCACGACACCAGTTCTGGTTTTAATTATTAAACTACGATAATGAAATGTGTGTTTGTAAAATATTAAAATGTTGAAATAGAGTTGAAGAAAAAAGAGTACATAGAGGAAAGAGATATAAGGAAAGACAACTTACAAACATTCAAGAACTAGAAAATGGACTTTACCAAATGGTCATCTTTCTAGCTGATCGAGTTGTCTATAAAAGTTGGGATATTGTCCACATGAGAAGCAACCCACTCATGCTCATGGGAAATTAAAAGCTGTTTTTTGGTAATATGAAATTCTGTATGTCATACGTGTTGTCATGCTCTGTATGAGGCCTGACAGGAGCCAATTAAATGTGTAGAATGGACATGTTATATCGCTGAATCTGTTTTAGGGAAATATAAACAGAAGTGTTTTACTTAAGATGGTATATTTAAAATTGTGTTTTTTGTGGCGTAAATCTTCATCCATATTGTATCAGATAATTAGCAGTTTTCTCTTTTTGAAAAACAGTATACCAAAATTATTAGAGTTTGATGAAACAGTCCAAGTAATTAAAAAATATTTTGTAATATTTTACCCCATCTTATTTTGGTTTTGAAAAATTTTTATTGGATTGAAGTTAGTTATTGCTAAGAGAACCAATTTTATTAAGCAAGAAAGAAATTTATTTTCCTTTAGAAAGTTTAGAGTTATTTTCCAGTCGTTGGAAAAAAATCATGCTACATTGTGCTAACTGTGATAAACTAAAAAAATTGTTCAGTTGACTAAGCTCTAAGATTGAATTCTCTTCTATCTCTTTCTGTGTTTCCTTACCCTCACCTCCTTTTTGCTAATCTCTATCCTTGGTATCTGCCATTTCCTAGTTTTATCCACTTAGGAACTCAGCTTTAACTATGATAATATTACCTTAGGCAAAAGAATAAATGCTAGAGTTTAGACTACAAAGCATTGAGTACCAAGTTTAACCACAATACTTATGTTCAATGTGTTAATAATTGATTAATTTTTAATGTGTCTCATTCCTTCTTGTTACTTGTAGTGTAATAAAGGTAAGAGAAACTAATTTGCCAGACATTTCCTTATCTTCAGAACAAATTGATTGAATTGTATTATATTAGTTGTAAATTCTTCTTTTTTTCATATTCCTGTCAAACAATTTAAAATATAACATTTTAGAATAGAAAATTCATTACCTTTCTGATGAATATAGGTACTCAAAATGCAAGTGTCCTTGTAAGAGATTCTTATTCCAAAGAGAAGTTCTTTTCAGATTTGAGCACTGTGCTGTTCACAGAAGTAGATCACAGAAAAGCCAGAATGATGTTAAACATGATCTTTAATTCTGAGTTCTGTTTGAAATGTATGCGTGCTTGCATCAAGATCAGGTTGAAATTAGTTTTAAAAAAATATACAAATACATGTGTATGTGTATGTAAACGTATATATTCATTCATTCATTCATTTACTCATTCATTCCCTTAAGGGGTCTTCTGTGGAAGTGACCACAACTAATGATGAGGGTAAACAATACAGTGATGGCGAATGGCATGAAATAATCGCTATTAGGCATCAGGCTTTTGGCCAAATCACACTGGATGGGCAATATACAGGTAAGAACTTCTCTGATATATATAAATGGCTCTGTTGATATGCTGATGTGACCATACTTTTCTGTTATTTATATTTCTCTATCTCTTCTTTCACCTTTTTCTCCACTCAATTTCATCTCAAATGCTGTTGAATTTGCCTTTGAGGTGCTCCTAAAGTGATGAAATCTGGCACCCATTTTCTTGTCTATGCAGGGTGTCAGTAAAGCAAAACTAAGAGCAAAGTCATCAGGAGCAATTGTGTATCCTTTACTGTTCTTTGCAATTTGCAAGGGCGTTTACTTATGTAAAAGTTTCTTGTGTAAAAGCTTACTTATGTAGAAGTCTCTCACTTTACTTTTGACCCCCAGAAGACAAATAAATTAAGATAAAGCAGTTGTAACATGCATTTGAGAGATGAGGAAACTGAACCTCAGAAAAGGTAAATAACTTCTCCCAATTGACACAGTTGGTAGGCAGTATTCTTGGGGCACCTCTCTTATCTTTGCAATTCTAAGTTGAGTAGTCTTCCCATCCCTCCCTATCTACCACCCTCATGTAATTATAAAACAGTTACAGTACCTGTATGATACTGCAGGCTTTTATTAATTCATTCAAGAAATATAGAATTTTAATGAGCACCTACTATGTGCTAGATATTTTTCTAGGAATTCTGGATACGAGAAGCAAAATTTACATTTTAGGAGGGAGAGAGGCAGGAGACAGAATAAATAAATAGTGGTACATTCTGAGAATGATAAAGCAAGATAAGAGGGAAAGGGGTATGTATGGGGGGGTGTGTGTGTATGGGGGAAGGGAGGTTCTGATTTTATAAAAGACTATTCAAGAAGTCCTCTCTGATAAGATGACATTTGAGTTAAAGGATAAACCAGGCAAATATCCTGGAGAAGAATGTTTCAAGGCAAGGGAACAGTAGGTGCCAGGTCCCTGAGGTGGGAACATACCCTCTGTAGCATGTCAAGGACCAAAAAAGAGGCCAGTGTGGGAAGGAGTGGATTAAGGGGCTAGTGGTAGGCTGTGAGAACAGAGAGGCCATTAAGGCTGTATAAGACCCTTGTGGGCTTACTTGCAAAGAGTTAGGCCATTGGAGAACGTTAAGAGAGGAGTGACATGACATGACTTCTTCAAAGGAACTGCCATGATATCACTCCTTAAAAGGAACACTCTGGCTGTTCTTTTGAGAATAAATTTTAAGAGGAACAAGGGTGGAAGCATGAAGACCATGTAATAGGCTTCAGCAATAATTCTAAAATAATTCAGGCAAGAAATGATGGTTTCATGAACCAGGAAGTGGTTGTGGATATAATGAAAAATCTGGATATATTGTAAATGTTAAATTAAAAGGATTTGATTGAGGTAGAGCAGGAGTCAACAAACTACCACCTGAGGGCCAAATTCAGCTCATGTTTTTGTTTTTCATAAAGTTTTGTTGAAACACAACCGCAGCCATTTGTTATGTATTGTCTAAGGTTGCTTGAGGCTGTATGGTTTACAAAGCCTGAAATATATACTACCTGGCCCTTTATATAGAGAGTTTGCTAACCCCTAACGCAGAGAATGACTGCTAGGTTTGGGACCAGGGCAACTGGAAGAATGTAGCTGCCACCACTAAGGTGGACGAGATAGTGGGAGAAACAGATTTGGAGACAGACGTTCAGAGTTCAGTTTGGATGTAAGTCTATGAGTCCATGAGGCATCCAAGTGGAAACATCGAGCAGGCTCCTGGAGACAAGTCTGAGTTCAGGGAAGAGTTCCAGACCAGTGATATAAATTGGGAGTTGTCAGCTAAGGATGGTATTTAAAGCCAAGGGATGAGATGTAAATAGGGCTAATTAGAGTGGTTTGGGTTCTGGAAAAAAGAGAAAATTCCCCCTCCTCTCAAAGAAGGATGGAGATAGAAATCTTAACAGTAGATTTGCATTGTTATGCAACACAGGCAGGGACCCAGGCCCCTTCTGGTCTTCGCCCTCGGTAGTTTGCGCAAGTACCATCGCTCTATTCGTCCCTCTGGAGGACTTAGGGCATTCCTGTAGGTGCAGAAAGGAAGAGATCTGAGAAGGGAAGAGGTTTGGCTAGTTCCAACATCAAGACACTGGGGCAATGAGGAAGAACCAGTAAAGAAAAGCAGCCAATAAAAGAAGAACCAGGAAAGAGGGGTTTCCAGAAGCCCAGTGAAGGGTTTAATCATTTGTTAAATTAGTAGAAATAGATGATCCTGCCAAAGTTGGAATTCTCATCTCCTTTCCCACAGGTTCCGCGGCCACCCCAAATGGTAGTACTATCATTGGAGAAAACACAGGAGTGTTTGTGGGAGGGCTGCCGCGGGGTTATGCCATCCTCAGGAATGATCCTGGTGAGTTTGGTAAAGGTGTCGAATTTCGGTGTTGTCATCAAAATTTAGAATCACTATATTATGTTACAGTATGAATAACAGAAGTATTTTCTATCTCATGCTGCCTTCCCTGTATGAATATGTCAAAAATGTCCTTTAGGTCTCTTCTAAGGGAATCATGTGTTGCTTGCATTTGAATTCTTAATGCCCAGTTCTTGATATATAAAGGGAGTTCATTAAACTTTTGCTGAAAGGAATTATACTAATTTCAGTCAAAGGTATGTTAGTTTAGGATTATGGGTCAATTTTTTTTAAGATTTTAAATTGAATGTGAAACAACTCAGAAATGGAAAACTGTGAGCTTGATTTATAGTCTAAATAAGGTGGGGAACATTCCCTGAGTATTAACTATGTGATAGGCCCTAAACCAGTCCCTAGATATCCACAGATGAATAAAATGTGGTCATTGCCACAAAAGAGAGCACAGATCTGTAAATAGGTAATTCCAGTCAAATGCTGTAAAGGCTGTAATTGAGGCATAGGCAAAGTAATTCCTTTTTTAGGGGAAGAAAACAAAAACTGACTCTAAAATGAAATGAATAAAAACTAACATGAGTGAGGGGCTGGCCCCATGGCCGAGTGGTTAAGTTCGCGCGCTCCACTGCAGGCTGCCCAGTGTTTCGTTAGTTCGAATCCTGGGCGCAGACATGGCATTGCTCATCAAACCACGCTGAGGCAGCGTCCCACATGCCACAACTAGAAGGACCCACAATGAAGAATATACAACTATGTACTGGGAGGCTTTGGGGAGAAAAAGGAAAAAATAAAATCTTTAAAAAAAAAAAAAAAACCTAACATGAGTGAAATTAACCTTAGGCAGGAAAAAAATCACCCTTCCAAATGCATTGCCAACTATTCCAGGGTTGTTCCTAAGTCCTCATCAAGGAGCATAGGATGTCTCCCAGGTCTCTCCCAGGGAGTAAAACATAGCTACATAAATATTACAAATAAGCTAGAACCTGGATAAGGATAAATTGTTGATGGGTGGAAGTCTTCATGGCATCATGATGAAGATCAAAACAAATAAAAAGTTTTCAGAGAATTTTGGCGAGGGATGTATTTAAATCCACAAGACTGGTTATAGTTACCTCTTTGGAAATATCTGTAGAGTAGAGAAGGCTTTCATTCAACTACTTTGCACTGGTAGGGAAGTCCTTAGAAAACATTCACACACACACATAGATTGAAAGAGCGAGAGAGTGTTTGTCCTACTTCTTTGCCCATCAAGCACAATTCTTGGCTATGGTACATCCAGGAACCAGGAGAAGAGCACATCGAGGTACCAACTACTCTTCCCTTCTTGTGAAGGACATATCTCCATTACAAATAAATAGTCATTGTACATATAAATTGACCTTGTAAAACTTCGACTGTTGGTGAATATCTTCCCTAGAATTAAGTCATAAACTCATAAACTGAGAACCATGCTTCACACTGATCAGTAAGGACATCGCCATATGAAATTTGACCTCAGTTCCATGTGTCCTCTCTTCTTCTCTACTTTTTTCTTGCTGTCGCTCTGCTTCTCTCATTTGCTCACTTTCTTTCTTTCCCAACCTCCTATTACCACTTTATTTTCTATATCCATAAACCTCACAGTTACCTGGTCTAGGTTCCAAAATTAAGCTTAATGTTACATTAATTCCTAAAAATGATAGCAAATTATTGATTTACTTCTATGACAGACTGGTTCATGAAGGAACTAACCTATAAATATAGATTTGCTAGAAACACATCCTTCAAATCTTACTTTTAAAACTTGTTATAGCACGTATATTTTTAAGACTAGTGGCAGACGAAATCTCCTTGCTTGTTCAAAAGACAATATTCTTCCTAGTACCATAAAACCAAGGTTTTTGCATAAACATCTGTTTCTGCAGATATGATGGGTCTGAACCCGGGCTAAAATTATAATTGTTACCATTCACCATAGCTGATAGTGTGGTGCTTATGTGAATCATTTAGAGGTTTGTAGTAAATAGGTAGTGGGAGCTATTGTCTGTTTCTTTGATTTTCATGGCACATAAAATTAATTGCTTGAAAAGAATTTTTCAAAATACATATTTCTTGATATCTATCAACTCCTGCAGATATAATCCAAAAGGGTTTTGTGGGCTGTCTCAAGGATGTGTATTTTATGAAGAATTACAATCCCTCTGCTGTTTGGGAACCTGTGGTTTGGCAGAGTTCTGAAGAGCAAATAAATGTGTATAGCGAATGGGAGGGATGCCCCGGTTCATTACAGGAGGGAGCCCAGTTCCTTGGAACAGGTAAGGTTCCAGAATTGACATTAGTCATTGCTTAGCATGTGTGTTCTGTCCTTGGCATAACTTAATCTCCACTTTCCAATTACTTTGACCTCATGTGAACATGATATCTCAGAAATACCTAGTAATGCCGTGATGCACAGAAATATATTCTCAAACTGAATACATAATATAAATTGTAAGACTCATACATATATATTCATGTTTAAGATCTCTGGTGGCCCACGGCAGTTCTCTGTTTACATATGGTAGTGTCACAAATGTCCATTTGCAAGTCAATTGTTTCACTTAGAATGTTTTACTTAGGGCAATCCATAAATATCTGTTTATGCCGTTATATAGACTGACAATATTCTTGAGTGAAACTTCAGTTATGTGATGGGGTAAGTAGGTCATTAAAGGTGAGCTAGAGAATATACTGGTGGTCTAGTGGTTAAGACTTGGCACTCTCACCACTGCAGCCCTGATTCATTTCCAGGTCAGGGAACCACGTCACTCATCTGTGGGTTGTCATACTGTGTCAGCTGGGTGTTGCTATGATGCTGGAAGCTATGCCACCAAGATTTCAATTACCAGTAGGACCACCCATGGTGGACAGGTTTCAGCAGAGCTTCCAGACTAAGAAAGACTAGGAAGAAGGGTCTGGCCATTCACTTCCCAAAAAATTGGCCACAAAAACCCTATGAAGAACAGTGGAGCATTGTCTGATATAGCACTGGAAGGGTGAGAGGATGGCGCAAAAAGACCAGGCAGGGTTCTGCTCTGCTGTACACAGGGTCGCTAGGGGTCAGAAGCAACTCAAGGGTACTAGCAAGAGAATATAACCACCCTCATTGCCATTGCTCCAAAGTCTGCAGCAAAGGTGAGATGCGGTGTCCCTGGCATACCTCCCAACCCCAGTTTCTACTTGGCGGCTGCCAGGGTAAGGGGGCAGAAGGGAATATGGTGGCTTGGCAGATGTGGCTTTTTCTTCAAATAAAAGCCCACCTTTGGCTCCTTTATCAGAGATTAGTTGTTCATAGATGTGTGGTTTTATTTCTGGGCTCTCAATTCTGTTCCATTGATCTGTGTGTCTGTTTTTCTGCCAGTACCATGCTGTTTCGATCACTATAACTTTGGATAGCTAATCTGTGACAAAGGAGCCAAGAACATGCAATGAAGAAAGGAAAGTCTCTTCAATAAATGGTGTAGGGAAAACTGGACAGCCACATGCAAAAGAATGAAAATAGACCATTATCTTGCACCATACACAAAAGTTAACTCAAAATGGATTAAAGACTTGAAATGTAAGACTTGAAACCATAAAACTCCTAGAAGAAAATATAGGCAGTACAGTATTTGACATAAGTCTTAGCAGCATCTTTTTGAATACCATGTCTACTTGGACAAAGGAAACAAAAGCAAAAATTAACAAATGGGAGTACATCAGATAAACAAGCTTCTACAAAGCAAAGAAACCATGAACAAAACGAAAAGACAACCCACAAACTGGGAGAAATATTTACAAATCATGTATCTGACAAGAGGTTAATTTTGAAAGTATATAAAAACTCCTACAACTCAACAACAAAAAAATGAACAACCTGATCAAAAACTGGGCAAAGGATATTTACAGACATTTTCCCAAAGAAGATATCCAGATGGCCAACAGGCACAAGAAAAGATATTCACATCACTAACTATTAGGGAAATGCAAATCAAAATCATAATGAGATATCACCTCATACCAGTCAGAATGGCTGTAATTAACAAGACAAGAAATAACAAATGTTGGAGAAGATATGGAGAAAAGGGAACCTTCACACACTGCTGGTGGGAATGCAAACTGGTGCAGCCACTATGGAAAACAGTATAGAGATTTCTCATATTAAAAATAGAAATGCCATATGATCCAGCTATCCCGCTACTGGGTATTCATCCAAAGAATATGAAATCAACAATTCAAAAAGATTTATGCACCCTATGCTCATTGCAGCATTATTCACAATAGCCAAGATGTGGAAGCAACCCAATTATCCATCCACGGATGATTGGATAAAGAAGATGTGGTATATACATACAACGGAATACTATTCAGCCATAAAAAAGACAAAATCGTGCCATCTATGACAACACGGATGGACCTTGAGGGTATTATGCTAAGTGAAATAAGTCAGATAGAGAAAGACAAATGCTGTATGATTTCACTCAAATGTGGAAGATAAACAAACAAACACATAGATAAGGAGAGCAGATTAGTGGTTACCAGAAAGGAAGGGGGTGGGAGGAGGGCAAAAAGGGATAAAGGGGCCCATGCGTATGGTGACAGGTAAAATCTAGACTATTGGTGGTGAACATGATGCAATCTATACAGAAACTGAAATATAATAATGTACACCTGAAATTTACACAATGTTAAAAGCCAATATGACCTCGCTAAAGTAAAAAATATATATTAAAAATTTTTTAAAAAATAAATAAAAGCCCATCTTTGCTTTCTACAGTTATACCTAAGTTTGTTAGTTGTTTCTTAAACTACTTTCACAACAGAAAGCTATATAATATCATAATCTGTGCACTTTTCCATTGCTCTTTTCTCATCACTGTCATTGTTCAGAGTTTCTCTTAAGTCACTGTAACTGCTTATTGTTAATACTTATATAGAAAAGTAACAGTCTTAATCATGTCCGTGATTTAAAGAATAAATTGCTTCCTCTTAAAAGGTATATCAAGTTCTTTCTGACGCTTCTGCAGAATTATGAGGGGGATTTCTTCACAGTGATTTGCATCTTTTGTGGGAGGTTTACTCCATGACAGTATATGTCTTACAGCACCCTTACGATGCTGGCCATTTGCTTTGCTCATGCTCATATGTATCTATTCTTTTCTTTAAAGGGTTCCTGGAACTTTATCCACATGTGTTTCGCGGTGGAAGGGACTTTGAGATTTCCTTGAAGTTCAGAACTGACCAATTGAATGGATTGCTTCTTTTCGTTTACAACAGAGATGGACCTGATTTTCTTATTGTATGTTAATTAATTTACTTTACTTTACTTTAAAATGTTCAGAGCCAACTTTAGAACAAATAAACCATGTGGTAACATTATACTAAATTGGGGTTTCTTTCCAAACTAACTTTTGTTTTCATTTTTTCCCCAAGTCATTTTTGGTTTTGGTGTCCTATGACACATTTTGTATTTTAGGGTCATGATGATTTTTTTAAATGACCATTATTAGTGTGAAAATTGTAATTTTAACAAAATAGGCTAAATATAAGTAATTAAGAAAATCCGATTTAGTCCCAATACATGAAAAATGTTACGTCCCTCATCTTTTGATATGATTCAAAAGAATGTATATGATATATATATTTAATATTACACAGATACATAAATATCAAATAAAGTGTAATAGTACCATGAGCAGTCATGAACCAACCACTCAACCCAAAAACTAAAATATTATCAATTTTTTGCAACTGCCTATAGGGTCTCTTCTTTCCCATTTCCCTGTCTCCTTCTGGAAGTAATATGTAATCAGAATTTTGTGTTTATTTTCTCCTTGTATTTTTATAGTTTGTACACCATGTATGAATGCCTAAACATACTTGTTTTTGAAATTTATAAAAGTGGTGTTTTACTCTAACTTTAGGCCATTGCTTTTTGCACTCGACATTGTTTCTGAGTTACCCATGCTCTCTGTGTAGGTCTGCATGCTGTATATTTCATGGCTGTGTAATATATCTCTTTTCTTGTCAATAACATATTGGTTGTTTCCATGTTTTTGCTATGGTGAATAAGGCTAATGTGAACACTTATACATTCCGCTAAATACAGTGCATAAGTGTAATTGCTTTTACTTGCCTTTAATCATGCAGCCAAATATCATTGTCAAAAACAAGTATATTATTAAAATGTTAATTTCTAAAAAGTTATTTAAAGAATTTACATAGAGTCAAGAGAAAATTATGGACATCTTAACTTCATTGTTCATATCTGGGCAAATAGGTAATAAAACACATCTCGGTGATTTTAGAATTCTAAGAAATTTTCAATTCGATGAGTTTCTAAATTAGATACTGTCAGTTTTGCTGATCACATAAATGGAAATTTACCCCTTCATAGTATTTAGTAAAATTTTAGCTTATTTAAAGTATTTATTTGTCCTCTTGTTTGCCGTTGGCCTACCCCACTGAAATATAATCTCTGTGAACACAAGGACCTTGGCAGTCTTCTATACAATTCTACCCTCAGTGGCTGACTCTTGGCACTTAAGCGCTCAATAAATGCTGTTTGATGAATGAATGAGTGAACATGTAAATCATGTTTCAGTGACCCTCACTAAGCATTCTTTAATCACCTATATATGCATAAATTCTGTGGAGGATGCAAATATATTTACCATTTGGCCCTTCTGCTTGAGGAGCACATGCCTCTCTTGGAGGCCATGCATTCTGCTATGGCCCCCTTCAACCCTCTATCTTCCTCCATTCACTGCCTTTGGAAATATAATAAATTTCTATTGTATTAAATAAGAATGTTAACTTTAAGTAAGCTTCAATAAAATAAATTTTAAAGAATTAAACATTTGGACAAATATATATTGAGTGCCTACTGTGTGGTAGGTTTTCATTTAGCACTTCCAATACGACTGTAAAGGAATCAGACCTCCACACAACTTACTTTCTAGTTTTCTGTATCTGAGCACTTGGGTTTCTCACAGTTTATCCATCAACAGGAACTCTTCCTATTATCCTGAGCAGCTTCAACATACATGGCTATCCCCTGGAACTTGATGGACTCAAAATGTTTCACTGCTAAAATCTTAAACCTCAAAATATAACCCCCTATCCTTCCAGCTCTCTCGTCTGCTTTTATGGAGTTCACCAAGACACTGGGACCATTGTCTATTAGCCCACTTTCTGTTTAACTTACTTGCTCCTTACCTTAGACACCATAGTACAGCTCTTCAATCATTTTTTTGCCAATGCCCTGAACTTCTATCTCCAACTCTACAACCCTGGATCAATTAGTCTAGCCACCTTGCTTGTCAGTTTCAATAGCCAGATGGCTGAACTCTGTAGGAAAACTAATACAGGTACAAAGACTAGTGATGTGCTGAGTTTTGAGCTTTCTAATTCCTTCATTCAACGATATTTGTTGTTTACAGGAGTTGCTAAACAGATTAGAGCTGGAAAGTGAAAGGAAAAGAATTTCAGGACTTGCAAAACACCACAACCTGAATGGCTTCGGACAGTCTCTCACTCTCATAAAGAACACAAACATAGGGGCTGGCCCCGTGGCCCAGTGGTTAAGTTCGTGTGCTCCGCTGCAGGCCGCCCAGTGTTTCGTCAGTTCGAATCCTGGGCACGGACATGGCACTGCTCATCAGACCACGCTGAGGCAGCATCCCACATGCCACAACTAGAAGGACCCACAACAAAGAATATACAGCTATGTACCGGGGGGCTTTGGGGAGAAAAAGGAAAAATGAAATCTTTAAAAAAAAAAAAACACACAAACATAATCTCAACCTCTCAACTCTCTATCTGAAAACTTTACTATCTATGAGCCAAGCCTGGTTTACTTCTCTCCTGACTCACGGGGAACAAATACACAATTACTATGCTTCCAATCAAAGTTAATATTTCTACCTTTATTCTAGATTCTATCCCTTCTCCAGCAAGAATTTGAGCTACAAATGATCTCCTCTTTGTAAATTCAAATGTTCCCTCTCCATCAGCCCTTCTCCTTCAACATATAAAATGGTTGAGCTTTGTTCATCTTAAATTTTTTTCCTTTTGACCTTGAAACCTCCTCTGTTGCACTTCTCTTCCCTTCACAGTCAATTGCATTGAACGTCATTGCTCTGGTTACTTCCACTTTCTCATCTCACTTCAGTCCTCAAAAGTACTGCATCTATGGTCCTGCTTCTACCACATTCTCCCACAAAACAATTTTCTAAAGTTGCCAATTACTGCCACATTTCTTAGTCTAATAGATAATTTTCAGTCCTTATCTGATTAATCTTTCTCTGTCGTCCTCTTTTTTTCTTAAAATATCCTTCCCTACTGATTTTCTAAAATGCTAGCTGCTCTTGATTTTCATTAAATCTTTCTGTATTCTCCAAGATCACTGTCAGCTCAAAGAACATCTACTCTGCCTACCCCTTCAAACATTGGTCTTGCTGAAAACTCTTATTTTCACTCTTTTTACACTAACTGGATGATCTTACTTATCTTGTCATGAGCTTTTCCCATTTTACTGGCCCATCTTGATGCTCAACTCCCTCAAAAAAGTTTCTTCTGGATATTTTATAGGCGCTTCAAACACAATATGTTTAAAATTGAACTAACTCCTGCCCCAGAACAAAGACAACAACATCTAGTCTTTTTTCTAAAGCTTTCCATATTGTGATGGTAAAACATACCCACCCCTGAAAGAGGGTGGGTGTCTTTGACTGACTTATCATTCATCTAACACATTCCACTGCTACCAGGTCCTGCTGAATTGCTTTAAAAAATACCTCTTAGATTGAGTTTTCGCTATCATCATCATTATTATTTTTATTGTAATGGCTCTCATCATTTTTTCACAATTGTACTGATTCCCTAATAGGTTTCTCCAATTACACTCCAGCTTTTATTTCCAGGATGTGCTTCTGAGGACTGGGAGGGTGAACTTTTAGCACAAGACAATAGTGGAAAGAATATATGCTTTGGAATCAGACAGAAAAGAGAAAGATGAACTTTTTTCCATATCACTCAAAATTCTCCAAAATCTTGTTTCTACATATCTGGCAGGAGCCTTTCTAACTCACCCCGCCCCCTGCCCCGGCACCTCGTATGTATCCTCTGTCTTACCTAACTTGGTACCTTTTTCTAAACCTAATGAGCTTGTAAATGTCTCTATTCCATTGATTATGTTAATCTCCCTGCTCGGAAGATTCTCTATGAATTTTAAATACTTCCGAAAAGCTTCCGTTAAACCTTTCCCAATTCCCAGGGACCAAAGGCATATCCTTTCTCTGCTCTCATTGTACCCCATGCCTTTCTTAGTTATTGTATGACCCCCCATGTTTGCTTCTCCTATTAGTGTAGTTATTGGGAACAGTGCTTATCTTGGAGCTGCAGGTTCATGGAACACAGTTGGGAGCTCAATATTTAGAGAATGAATGGATGGATAAATTAATGACTGCTTTTGCCCCATGTACTTCACGAAGATGATATTTACATAGAAAAAGTAACAATTTTTATCTGGCATTGCTTAATTTGTTTCAAATATCCTGTGGTCGCTGATTTGACTTCTAACAAAAACATCGTGGGTAAAATAATTGTCATGTAACATTTTGAAGGAAAACAGCTGGAGGCATTTCCTTTACCACGAAAATCTGGGTAAATATGTTTGTATTAGAAAATGGCACCTTGATCTAAAAGAATGGACATAGAAGCAATCATGTTAGTTAGAGATTTAGGATAATAAAACTGAAATATTGAATCAAAACACATCTTACAAATTTGAAATTGAGTTCACCAACCAGTTAAAATAAGCTTAATCAGGCTTGACATTTCATTTTCTTATTGTCTTGTCATATTTTTCCCCCAAATTAAATTGATATGTGAAGTAGTGTTTTCTCATTTTCTAAAAACTCAAATAAAAATAGAGTCATAGTTCAAACTATTCTGCTCTCTTTAGTCATTCAATTACTTATGCTAGCATTTAATCTTTTATCTCTGTTGCACAGCCCCCCCAAAAAAGTTTCTACCTACATAATATTGCGTCACATCTTATAATCATTATTGGGTATGAATTTGTTTGACTCAATACAATATTCTTCATGTTGGTTAGAAGCTTGCAAAGTACTTCATTATACGTTACTCCAGTTCTGCTTAGAATAAAGTGGAACATTTTTATGAAGTGCTTTCAGGGAAATTTCTTGCTTTTCTTCGAGAAATTGACCTTCTGCTCTCCCGAACTGCCTTTCTGCAGTCTTTTTATATACCTATTTTCTTTTTTAATATGAAATACAGATAGAACTGAAGAATGGAATATTGAGCTTCCGGTTAAATACCAGTCTTACTTTGACACAAGTGGATCTATGGCTGGGACTGTCCTATTGTGATGGAAAGTGGAATAAAGTGATTATTAAAAAGGAAGGCTCCGTCATATCGGCAAGCATGAATGAACTGATGGAGCGTGTGTCAGAGTCCAGAGCCCAGCCACTGATGGTAAATTCCCCAGTCTATGTGGGAGGAACCCCACAGGAGCTGCAAGACTCTTATAAGCATCTGAGCTTGGAACAAGGTAAACTCCGTCTGGCGGATTTCCCAAACTGATGCAGCCCTGGTCCTACTAGGTTTGAGTGGTTCTGTGTTTCAAGATATAGCAATAGAATCAGGCTGAAAGCAACACCCACTCACCCTTTCGGTGGAGAATTTTAAGCTCTAAAAAAAAAAAATCACAGAGGCTGGACTGGTGGTGTAGTGGTTAAGTTCACGTGCTCTGCTTCAGCGGCCTGAGGTTTGTGGGTTCAGATCCTGGGCACAGACCTAATCTCCGCTCATTAAGCCGTGCTTTGGCGGCATCCCACACACAAAATAGAGGGAGATTGGCACAGATGTAGCTCATGGCCAATCTTTCTCAGAAAAAAGAAAAAAAAACACAGAACACTTCTTCAAATAGTTTTGTGTGTTGCCCTTAAGAGTACGCCCTTATACCTATTTATAATCAATATATTTATGCTAACTGTCTTCAAAAAATATAATTGTATTTAATATATATAATTTATTTCATCATATATTTTCCTTGAGAACACATGTGGTTCTGGTTTTCTTGAATATTGATGATTATCTGTATTTACAGATTAAAAACATAGGTTGGTGTGCACAACTGGGAAAAATGGCATTAAATTCACTGGGGTATTTTTTTCTGAATAAATGTTGTCTCCATGCATTTCAGTGGAGCTCTCATGCAGCAACGAATATGAAAGGGTGAATTCAGTTGAATTTCAGATGTACTTGTGAAAAATCTATATATCACTGATTATTAATAACCATCATGGAAAGGAAAAATTCATGAATGTATGACTTGTAACTAAAGCAAGCATTTAGCTCATATAATGAGTTTGAACAGAATCAAAGAAAAAAAGAACTCATGTAACTCATAGCATTTAATTTATATAATAAGTTTGAACATAATTCGGGAAATTATTAATTTAAAAAGGCTAACAGTAGCTGAGTGCATACTATGTACCAGTAATGGTTCTAAGAGTTTTATGTGAGAATAAGTGAGTTCGTCCTTCAGAGCAAGCATATGAGTTAGGTTCTTATTACGCATATCACCATTTTACAGATGAGGAAACTGAAGAGCAGAGAGGAAAATAACTTGCTCAAGGTCACATGCCTAGTAAGCAGACAGCAAGCTTGTCTGCCTCAGGCAGCCTGGTGTCAAAGTCCACTCTCATTATAATCCAGTGTTCTCTATTATGGGCATGCACCACTCTTCCTTCTCTGTAAAGTGGGGAAGGCACAGAAACATCCAGCTTCTGACAGAGCTTGCTCCCATGTAGAAAAATGTTCTCTACAGATTTCAAACTCTATGCACCGCGAATGGTTAAAATTTCTACAAAGCGATCTTTGCCTATTTGGTAAGTACATAAAGATTTAAATGCCTTTGAATAGAAAATATATGGCAAGCTCTAAGGAGACTTTTAGAAGGGTACTACTAAGGAGTTAATGAATATCTGGGGTGTAAGACAGTAATGACATTTTCAAGGCACTTAAGATGTAACAGCAGCTAAAAATATTACATTCATATAAGGGCTTCTCTTGGTTTTCAGGTTTTTGAGGTTAGAAAGCACTTGAAACCTCTTTATATGAGCAAGATTACTTGATCCTGTTTACATCTAGGAAAAAACCCTGCCTATCAAGCGTTATACTTTCGAAGTACGCCCAAACCCCTTATTATGATGGTCCTAGAGACATGGCTGAAACTGGAATTGTAAGATGACAATGATAGAAGTTTAAAACATCAATATAGACGCAAAAGGAATAATCTATGCTGTGACTAAGTCTATGATACTTAAGGACATTTTATTTATGGATAATACTAAATTTTTATCATTGCAGCATCATCCATATCAGTGGTTCTTAAACCACTGATAAAATATTGAAGTGTAGTAAGAACTCAACATAGTAAGAACTTAATAAAATTAGCTATTATTATCATGATTACTATTCAAGATACATTGGAATAGCCTGGAAAGGTTATTAAAAAATGCAGATTTTATGATCCTATCACCTAAGATTCTGACTCAGATGCTTTGAGCGACACTGATCTATCTAAGTAAGCACATGTTTTAGACAGTGATCAGGAGAGTATTAATACAGACGTGCTGCATGCATGTAGTAAATTGCAATTAAAATTAATCATGTTCATTTACTGGATTTTTTTTCAATGTGCTATCAACAGTCTAAAAAATCTCTCTGTGCTTCTCAATTAGCACCTTTTTTCAGAGGCTCTCTTTGTGGTCATATTAGTGCTGTTTTCTTTCTTATCCATTAATGTTGTAATCTTCCTTTGAATCAAATGCAAATCAGTTTTGCTCTGTGTTTTGGAAATGCTGGGCAACATCATTTGCTGAGGATGTACCACCTCACATCGTGGGTATTGATCTTACAACTATTACTTGGGACTGTCGCTAGCCTCAAGGTTGGGAGAGAGTGGGCCATGGCACATGGTATCACAGGTTATGCCCTGCCCAAAGCTCTGAGCAGAGAGGGCAGGAATTGGGGCTGAAAGCCAGCCTTCCTGCCAGCCCAGGTGCCCCAGTGCTGGGCTGCCTCCTCCAGAAGGACCATTGTCTTTCTGATTTGTCAACCCAGAGTTCTGGGCCACCTTGTAGTTGTTTGGAGCCCTGGGGGTGAGGATAGGGCTGGGAATATTTTGATTCTCACAAATCAAAATTTGAAGAAAGAAAGAAGATGCCCAGTCCTCCCAAAGACAATTGCTTTCCCCTCTTCTTGTCCTCACACCCCAATAAAATTTTGAAGTAGTTGGGAATATTTCCAGTGGGAGTATTTCTGGTGGTGCAGAGTCAGAAGAATAGTGTAAACTTCATTTGACAAAACTCTCTGCCCTCCCTAGGGAGAACACAGGGAAGACCCCCTCCCCCCAGTAGAAATCACACGTCTTCACCTCCAAGGCCTGAGGCCAGAGTCCCACTTCCTACAAGAATTAGTACTGACAAACGTCATCCTATAACTCTCTGGACCTTTTTCTTTATCCCCAGAATGAAGGAAGACTATCTCTGTGGCCTTTTCCAAATTTAAAATTCCATCTTGTGATTTTATTTTTAAGACATTTCTTTTTTTTTTTACTTTTTTAATTGGAGCAAAATATACATACATAAAATTTACCATCTTAACCTTTTTTTTCTTTTGCTGAGGAAGATTCCCCCTGAGCTAACATCTGTTGCCAATCTTCCTCTCTTTTGCTTTCTTTGAGGAAGATTAACTCTGAGCTAACCTCTGTGCCAATCTTCCTGTATTTTGTATGTGGGTCACCACCAAAGCATGGCTGACAAGTGGTGTAGGTCTGTGCCTGAGATCTGAACCTGTGAACCTGGGCTGCCAAAGTGGAGAGTGCTGAATTTAACCACTATACCATGGGGCCAGCCCCCATCTTAACCATTTTTAAGGATATGGTTCAGTGGCATTTAGTACATTCATATTGTTATGCAACCATCACCACCACCCCTCCCCAGAACTCTTTCCATCTTGCAAAACTGAGACTCTGTACCCCTTAAACAGTAATAGAACATTTCGCATAACAGCAGCTAGATGTTGGCCAAAGCCACTTTTCCACAGTTCACATTTTGTTGATAGAAAAACTGAGAACAGAGAAGTTAGATAACTCAGCTCTATGCCGTCGGAAAATTACTGCTGGTAAGAATTCTTAGCTTCTGAATCTTCAAGCAGATGCTTTTATATTGAGCTTCATTGCTTTCAATTCACTCAACTTATTGAGTGTCTACTGTGTGTTCGAGATAGACTAGCAGTATTGATCAGGCAGGCCTAAAGGAATGTGAATCATATAGCAAAGGCATTTAAAAGAAAATAGGCTGCAACTTAATGTGTTAGAAGACATAATAAGACATCGTATAAATGCTGGAGAGAACAATATGGTCATTGTTGCTATTAACTTATTTTACTGTTAAACGTTGTGCTATATTTTATTTCCATTTCCTGATGATGTGCTTTCATCTTGAAAAGAGCTAATCATGTGTCTGGGGCTTTTCAAACTTGACCGGGTTTTGTTCAGAAAGACAGTGTGTGTGCTCCAGCAATCTCAGCCTCAGTCGGTTTTGTCCCTTCCTTTACAATTTTGTGCAGTTTTCTGAGCAGAGGACTGCCAAAACTTGTTGAGCTGATCTCTCTTTCCACAAAATAGCATGTAATTCAAAGCAACTGCTATTCCCTGGCTGACTGGATGCCCTATGGTTCTCTCACAAAAAAGCAGTGCGTCTTTCAAATCTGTTTCCTCCACATTCTCTGTTAAACGTCACACAACTGTGCTGCAATCTGGTCGCTCTAAAGTCAACTGGGTAGGATGCACATCCAAGGAAACCTCCAGGTATTGTCACTGCCTTAGCTGAATCTGGTCCTTGTCATGGTGATATCAATGTCAAATTGGGGACCATTTTGTGTACTTAGGATTATGGAACTCAGTGAAAATGGGGGAGCACAGTGATAGCTCCTCCACATGCTGATTATACTAGGACTTACTTCTCCATCTCTGAAATGATTATGATGGAATTCACGGCAATAGCTCAGGACTCTAGTATATTTTGAAACTATATTCTCACTCCCGCTATCCTGCATAATATCATCAAAGGGTATTTTTTCCCCCAATGAGCTTGTTGAGTAATTATGGTATGTCAACTATTATTTTTTGGCACTTAAACACTGACTTATATAGGTAACTTAATTCTCCAGAATTGAGGGACATGGGGGTACCCCCACCCTAATGTGCAGTTGCCTAGATTTTATTTCATGAGAATATACAGGAGAAAATGTGGACCTAAAGAGGTATAATAAATACTTTCTGTTGAATTATAATGATCAATTTATCTATCTTTTCAAAATAACATAAATATAAATATTTTTCTCATGACAAGTTAGCCTGATAAAAAGCAAGAAGAGGCATAAGGGATTTCCTAAATGAGACTTGAAAGTTGAAACACTGCCTCTAAAGCACCGCCCCCCCCACCTCATCAAAACGTAGGACTGCAGAGGACAAAAATGATTGGTAATTAATGACTCCAGCTCTTTATGTGATACTAATCCCTTACTATTTGCTAGGTTTCGGTGGCTGCATGAAGGATGTTAAATTTGCACGGGGTGCTGTCGTTAACTTGGCATCTGTGTCCAGCAGTGCTGTCAGAGTCAATCTGGATGGATGCCTATCAACTGACAGCACTGTTAACTGCAGGGGAAATGACTCCATCCTGGTTTACCAGGGAAAGGAGCGGCGTGTTTATGAGAGCGGTCTCCAGCCTTTTACAGGTAAGGTGGAGGGGCTCCAAATTAGATGTTATGTCTCTTCATCCTGTCTTCCCTTCCTGCCAGCCCTCAATGAGTCACTATGAGTAATATTTTAATCTTTCTACTTCTTATGTCCATTTAAGAATACCTGTATCGAGTGATGGCCTCACATGAAGGAGGTTCTGTATATAGCGATTGGAGTCGGGGACGGACAACTGGAGCAGGTAAATAGTATTTCTATTGAATTGTATATGTGCGCATGCATGCACAGGTTTGTGCATACGTGTTTATGCATGTAAAGAAAAGGAAAGACTACTACCATGAAGCGAGTAGTGTGCTTGTAATCTAGGGACAGAGCAGGCCTTGGTTTGCAAGTGTATTTGTCAAGGGCTAAAATCCTGAGTAAATCAGTCCTTTTGATTTTTCAAGTACTCAGTAAGTATTTGCTCAGGCTTGATTCCTTCCTCTTCCGATGCAGAAGGAAGTTCAAGTTGCCTTAAGGATTTAATAGACCTGTATCTACAGTAATATATCTAAGGACAGGAAACCTTTGCAGACTGCGTAGACCCCAGGAAGCTGAAGTCAAGATTACCTTTGGGTGGGGTGGCACCTCTTGCCTCTCCCTTGCGGAGAGCGCATCTGAAACCCACACCCTGGTTGGAAGCAGATGTCTTTTCCCACCATGGCAGATGCTTGCCATGGTGTTGACTATTAGGATCTTAGAATGACTCTCCCAGGATAGAGATTGCTGATTGGTCTAATTTTTTTGAGTTGGAGGAAAACAACGAGGAGATACAATACATTAGATCTAGTCTCAGACAACCCATCTCTAGGTGCTTTGTACTTCTGACAATGACCAAAATGTCTTCACACAACACCATCACATGAAGGCATATATCACAGAAAGTTTTGTGAATCAGTAGCCTTCTACCATTTTGGGTCAAATATTTGTCAGAAAAGCCAATACGTTTTCCTATGATTGCCACTTATGTCTCTGGAAGAAAGTTTATCCTTAGCAAGTCATAATTTGTCTAAAGATATGTTTTTCACCAAGACGCCCTCTCTTACTTCTTATCAACAATGGGTTACTAACCAGCCATTCTTTGAGGAATCTTGTTAATCTAAAACATAATTAAATATCCAGGTGGGCTACCAAGAATAATTTTCAAAGCTCTCTGCCTACAGATTTTCCAGAAGAGGACAACTTGACACTTCTCCAGGATGATTTAATTGATCATCTATTTATGGGCAAGACAATAGCTGAATGATCTCTTACAGTTCTTTTCAACTTCACAACTTGGAGAAAGCTCTGATATAAAATATTCATTTGTTACTGACATGTCCTCTGCCCCTATTTCACACTCTTCTACTTTATTAACAAACACCTATAAAGCCTGCTTTCAGCCTAATTCAGCCACATAAATAGGCGTCTAGAAAGTGCATCACTTACAGAGCTTAACAGTCTCCATTTTGAGTACCACTGAGAAAGTATGCAAATAGACCTCTGAATTTATAGCAATGATCTGACCACAAAGTCTGATGCCATAAATTCATATTTACAATCTGACCACAACACTGAGCAGCTACATGCTCCCAAGGGTTGGAGAATAATTGCACTATTTAATTATTTTTGAGTCAGTTTTGTTCTGTCCCTTATGAGAAGACCATCTGTTAGACAGTCCTGTACTTTGCCCTGTACCACATTTCAGAACTAATAAAATCAACATCACTCCCATTGTCCCTTTCCTTGCAACTTGATTGTGTGGCCTGTGTGTTTTCTATCGATGCCTGTGGTGTTTTAACTGCACAGACGGTGGTCCTTCATCTCTGTGCTTCCTCTCATCCTTTATATCCACTTTGTTTTGCTGGAAACTGTCCTATTTTGTTGGCCTGAACAGTAAAGTCAGAGAAGGAGGATATTTGATGTGGGAAAACCAGAGTGATCCTCCATCGACGGAGCTCAGGAGTCCGTGAGAGTGAGAACGGGTCTCTCATCCATCATCCTGCCGTGGCATTCCTTGGGCTTTTTCTCAGTGTCCCCAGTGCAGTCAGTTGTGATGAAGTTGTTACTGATCAGAACTGTAGAAACATCTAATAAATAGTTAAAGGTGATGGATTTTTAAAATCAGGGGACCCAGCGTATGAGGTTTTGCAATTCCTTTAAACTTCCTCATTTCACGTTATTGTTTTGTGGTATTCGGAAGAAAATATCTCTGAACGTGATTTTGTATAATCTCAAGGGCACTGGCTCCTCTACCCCCCAAAATGAAATTAGCAATGTATCCCGTATGTCATATCTGATAGAACTTTGCTTTTTTAAAATCATTTTGGAAAACACTTGAATTTGGAAAATGAGATCACACATTCAAACACAATACAATCACATTTGTGATATTTTTTGGCTAATACATTGAAGATATAAAAATGTCAAACCACTGTGTATAATAACAGTCTAATTATCTTGCTTCAAAGAGGTACATCATTATATTGTTTGAACTTGTTATCTGCCTACCATCCACCTCTTTCTTTATGAGTGATGTTTAAAACATGTCGGATACGTTAAATGTTTTTGGAAAACCTGGACTAGACTTGAAAGAACGTTATGTCGATGGAGTTTTGATGGTTTTGAAATATCGCTTAAACTGAATGGCTCAAGATGTGCAGTCGTATTAAATCAATGCTGAAAAGTTACAACTCTAATAAATTGTATTTATGCTAATGGTTGAGTCTGATTTACGACAGCCATTAAAAGTGAAGAATAGGGGCAATAGTCTTCTCAGAACTGCCATTTTCTCTACTTTCTCTTTTATTCTTTCACAGCTCTGCAAAGTGTGCCAACTCCCTCAAGAGTCCGCAGCATAAACGGATATAGCATTGAGGTGACCTGGGATGAACCTGTCATGGTTAGAGGTGTAATTGAGAAGTACATTCTGAAAGCTTACAGTCAGGAAGGTCCCCATCCACTGCGCATGCCCTCTGCCAGCTCTGAGTTTGTCAATAACAGCACCCTCACAGGTAAAGGCGATTCCTTAAGGAGTAGATCTTATTAATTTTCTTTTTGTTTTGACTTTAAATAAAAACATTCTTCAAGGTTTTATTTCCAAATATGGTAAATATTCATACGCTTTGCCTGGTTAAAAACAATAAGAATTGTCTAATAAGATGAAAGCCTGTATCCATCTAGGAAGAAAAGAATAATTCTATAATATGATGGGTTCTTATGGATAGCTTCATTACAAGGTTGATATTCACTCCATCTCCAAAAGATGAGGTCACAGGTGGCTATAGCCCTTAACACTCCCTAGACATCTTTTAGGGATCTAGTTTCTACATACAGGACCAGCTTATCTATTTCACCATGCAAAAATTTACTCTTTGGGACTCGCCCAAATTCACAGCACCATTATTTATTGTGAAATTGTTGATTAAACCTAATTATATCAGGGTGGAAGAATGAGTATTAGTGCATCGGCAGTTTGACTGGCAAAGCAGTGAATCAATTTCTCACAGATTGCAGTGGAATATACTCAAGCATGTAACACACATGTCCTGTTCTTGAGCTTATGCGCAGGTAGACAGCGGTTTTCAGCTTCATGAAATGTTAAAGCCCATTTAAATAGAAAGTCAAATTTAAGCCTTTGACCAAAAAAAAAGTAAAATGCATCAACGCATTTGAAAGAAAAAGACGTTTTTTCCCCCGTCAAAGAATTTTATAATTTGAAAATTTATATGGATTTTAGAATAGCCTTAATTAGCTTTCTAACACATCTCTTGGTCAACCCCCTCAAACCTTCACTTCCTTTTATAGATTCCTTAGAATCTGCAGCCCAAATGTCCAACCATTTTTATAAAAACCTCGTATCTCCCACTTCATTCTTCCCTATTTTATACACCTGATAAAAACCCAACCTGCTGCAGCCCACACTTTGCTTTGGCCCAGGTTGTACTTTGCAGCAAAGTGGGCTGGAAAAAAACAAGCAGTCTGTCACTAAAAATTCTCAATCCCCATTTTCAAATGGTCTCGGTAATGACACCAATACTACCCCATTTCTGTAATAAACTCCTTCTCCCATTCTCCTTGTTGAATACTTTATATTTTTCCAAGTTATCTAAATGCTAACCTCCCTTCCTCATCCCACTCAAATGACGATCTTTTATATTAGATTATCTTAGACACCAGAGAAGAAACAGAATCCATCATATAGGATTTCTGTCACTTTCTTACTACCAAATATATACATTAATTGCATTTTTCTGACTGATAGGGTTGTTATTAGGGGTTAAATGAATTAATGTAAGCTGAAACATTTAAAATCATTTTTGGCATGTAATAGGCATTTACCACTATTATTTTCATTTTTATTTTTTAATTTGCTCTCTTTTTCCTTCCTGTTTGTACAGAGCTTCCCTTATTGTATCAAAAATAAAAATATTCAAAAGTCCTCTAGACCCCAATTCTTCCCACCTTTTCAGAGAGATCACTGAGTTTCTCTTCCTCTCACTTATGCTTTTAAGCGCTCTCTCCACCGCAGTGTTTCACAGTGTGGCCCCAGGAGCAGCATCGACAGCATCACCTGGGACCTTGTTATTACTGCACGTTGGCCAGCCCACCCACACCTGCTTCATCAGCAACTCTGGGGGCAGAGCTCAGCCGTCCTTGTTTTAACACGCCCTCCTCCATCCTCAGGCATGCCCAAGTTGGGAGCCAATGCCCAGCTGGCTTCTTCCCAGGATCGTTCAAACTCTATTAACTCTTTTTTTTTTTTTAAAGATTGGCACCTGAGCTAACAACTGTTGCCAATCTTTTTTTTTTTTCCTGCTTTATCTCCCTAAACCCTCCCCGCCCCCCCCCCCCCCCCCCCAA